TTTTTAGCTTGCAGGAGCAGGACCTGAGTCACAGCAAAAGTAAAAATCAAAGAGAATTATGAAGTCATAGAATTTTGGGGGCTGGAATGGAGCTTAGAGATCATCCAGCCCCAACCCCCTGCCCTGGGCAGGGACACTTCCCACCAGAGCAGGTTGCTCAAGGCTTTAGCCAACCTGGCTGTGAACACTGCCAGGGTTGGGGCAGCCACAGCCTCCCTGGGCAACCTGGGACAGTGTCTCACCACCCTCACAGCAAAATCTTCTTCCTAACTTCTCATCTAAAGTTCCCTCCTTTAATTTATCCCCATTCCTCCTTGTCCTGTCACTGCAGCTCCTAACCAAGAGGAACTTTCTCCATTAATATTGCTCCACTCGCTCTGAGTTTCTTTCTTCCCTCTCTCCCTCCCAATTGAAGTTACACCAAGGAATATTATTTGTTTTGCTTGAGGAACACAAGTCTCCTTTGACCTTCCAGAGCACTGCCAAAGCTCTGAGCTGCAGCACTACACTAAATTAATTCTCTATAATTAACAGCCCTTCCTTGGTGTTTATTACAGCAAATGATTGGCAGTATAAAAGAGACCAAATCTAACAGTGAAGAAATATGCTTCACTCTCAAGATGCTTTCCAAGTTATTAGGAAATGGCACTAAATTTGTGTAACTGGGCACTTGAAAGCTCTCATAGCCTGTCTGCAGACATTCAGGGGAAGAGTTGACATTTATGCAATTATTTTCTCCTTTCTAGTAACATCCCAAAGCTCAGTGTCTCTGGCTGTGGTGTCATTTACCTTGGCAGCTCCAAAGAGCTGCTGGAGAAAGGCTCAGGTTTGTACCTCACTTCAGAGAAGACTCAGAAATGCTGCACCGAAGAAAGATGATATTTCCTGTAATTACTCACTGACAGATGCCTTGCTTGGTATTTTTCATTATTACCACTGTGAGAGAAAGATTGGCAATTCCTTGGAGTAACACATGCCAAAACAGCCTTCAGAGCTGACACAAGCTTGATCTGGTACCAACAGCTCCACCATGGGCTACTGGAAGGGATAGTTGTTTGCTTTCTGGCTTTTTTCTTCCTTCTTTCCTGAGTGCAACTTGTGAGAATAGTTTAAAAACACCCCTAGTTTTGAAATCTCTTTATAAACCAGCCACGAGGGCACCAAACCTTAGTGCTGGAGTTGATCCTTGATGTGATGAAGCAGTTTGGGAGCCTCAGGGGGGCAGGAGAGGAAGGGCTTCAGAATGTTTAGGCAGCAAGATTCAAGGTGTCAAAGGCTCTGAAGGAGATGTCTGGGGACATGAGAGGGATTTATGGGGTTAGGATTGTAACCATAAGGTAGTTTTGAGCCATGTAGATGCAAAGCATCTTTTCCTCTGTCATTGTCCTACCCTTACTCATAGTACAGTCTGAGCAAGACCTCAGGTTTGGATTTCTCACTTAAGTTTAGGTGAGGTGGGCAGGAGTCAGATAATTCAAGGGGAGCTAAGGCTGAAGCTGATGGCAGCTTTGAGATTATTAAATCCTCTGGCTTTTTGTGGGACTCAAAACACTAAGTGATGTATTTTTGTCAGAATCCAGGCATGAGTGAGCAGTTATACTGACTGAGTGACTGGAGTATTCCAGTGTGATGTGAGAGACAATAAATGGTTTCAGTTCCTCCATCTGCCAGGGTAAGACCTTGATGTCATCTCAATTTGAGCCCAGCAGAGCACCATCCATTGCTGCTCCATCTCTGGGTGCAGCTCCCTCACCTCTTCTGGTGCTATTCCATTCAAGGGAACTGACCTATTGCTGGACTAAATGTAAGCACAAAACCAGGGAATCTTGCCTGAGCCTGCATTGGTGAATAAGTAGCCAAACTATTGCAGTCCTTTGTAACAGAAGAAACCTTCTATTTCCCATCTTCCCTGTACAAGGATGTCACTACATTCAAAATTGCAAGTTTGATTTGCTTTGCTTTAAGAGCAGTTGGGCATAATTGAGGGTTAAAGAGCATGAAAACCAAGAAGTTGAGTAGAGAGTGATCCAGTGGCTGCCCCTGACACCCACTTGGTCTAAGTCTTCCCTACCTAAATCTGAAACTGCAGCCTTGAAAAGCCTTCTTGCAGCTGCCACATTAGCTCTGCAAAACTGCAGCCTTGAAAAACCTTCTTGCAGCTGCCACATTAGCTCTGAGGGCTGTGAAACTCTGCAAGAGGAGTACTTTGCTCTTTATTTTTCTTCTCCTTTTTCTCTTTCCCCTCTTTCTCTTCCCCAGCTCCTTCTCCTTCTTAGCACTCCTTGTGATTAACCTAATGAACCTTCTCAATCACACCTCGACTAGTAGAAAGTTGAA